ACTTGCAGAAATAGCTGTCAATTAACTTCAGGGGTGAAAGCAAAGCTTTACTGATAACAGTAAACATAAAATTGTATAAATGTAAGAACACTGTGTCCTTGTCTGACTTAAAAAATATTAAGCTTTATTCAGAAAAATAATGTTAATTAAATAAACTTTTTAATCATTGCCCTGATTTATTCCTTATTAATACTGCACATCTAAATGACCTAGTGAGTTGTGTTTAGAATAAGCACAGAAAATATGAAAGAGAAGAAGGGGGCATACTTTTGGACTTACTATATATAATTAGGTGTTACATTTTCCTGTCTGGATTTATTATTTGACTGGATGCAGTAATGTGGTGATCTGTAGGGGTTTTAATTTGTTTAGCTTCTTTAAGATTAAATGCTTTGATTTTGGACTGAAGTAAATTGCTCAAAGTCTAGACTTGCTTTAAAAATTGACAAGAAATGAAAGTTGTTGTTTGGATGCCCTCCGTCTAATCTGATGGAGCCTGAGCTGGTTTGGATGAAAAAAATCTGACCGAAGTATAAGCTGGCTTTGCGGTGAATGATTCAGAGTTGAATACAAATGAACAGCAGAGCTTTTAGATAAATGCAAGCAGTGCATCCTTTCCACCTCACATTACTGCATTAGGAGTTGGCCTATCATACAAAATACAAAAACAACACAATGTTTGTGGCTGTAATGTGACAAAATGTAGAGAAACTCAAGTGATGTGGAAACTGTGTGTACTGTATGTTGTTTGGAAAAAAAAGCACATAATAAGAATTTACTAAGAATTGGAGTCTACCTCAGTTTTAGTTGTAAAATATCATGAAATCACTAGAGAAATCAGTGCTACTTCCTCTTTCCTCAGCCTCATGGCAGGGTACCCCCTTCCTGAGCTTGAAGTGGGACAGCTGCTGCTTCATGTCTCTGGGAGCCCCACAGAGGACCGGGACCCAGTTCTGGTTCCAGGAGGGTAGAGATGTCCTCAGCTCGAGCAGTGAATGGGAATGCGATGCCATAAATGTGATTAGTGTCATGACTAGAGGCTGAAATCACCAGAAAAAAAGGCAGAACATTTAATATAATCACGGTAAGACAGTTTGAGAAGGAAAAACAGACACCTCACCTTGATTATTCTAATCAGAAATACATTTCTGAGCTGCTTGGCAAATTGCCTGAATGCGGTTAAAAACCCTGACTATTTAAATTCCTAAACTTTAAGCTGCTGCAAGTGCATTGTAAGCAATGCTACTGGTTCCCAAGCCCTGGGTGGCCAAGCGTAGCAGAGCTGAGTGATTAATGTGACCCAAAAGGCCAAACAGATGAAACTCTGTTCACAGAAGCAGAGAGGAACTCAATGGCCAGCAGAGATGTATTCTTTTTTTAAACCTATGAATGTGTTACATCACACAACATATTTCACATTGTTTAAACACCCTGATCCCTGCGAATAAAGTAATATTTTATATTAAAAGTAATGGACATTTCTGTTACATATATACAACCGTTTGAACAATTATTCAGTTGAGAAAGAAACATCCACAATAGGAGTTTAATATATATATATATATATATATATATATATATATATATATATATATATATATAT